AAAAATACTCATAAATATAAAAATACTCATAAATATAAAAATACTCACCGTTGACCCCTGTGAAATGATAAAATCATGGAAAGGTTTGGGTTGGAAAGACCTTAAAGCTCATCCAGTTTCACCCCCTGCCGTGGGCAGGGACACCTTCCACTAGCCCAGCTTGCTCCAAACCCCGTCCAGCCTGGCCTTGGACACTTCCAGGGATGGAAATGTGCTGGTTGGACCCAGTTCACCTGTCCCTGGTCAGACCCAGTGGTGGTGTGGCAGTGGTGGCAGGAGCACAGAGAAGCCCCCGTTAACTCCAGGGCCTCGCTGCGCGAAGGCGAAACGCTGCTCCTGAAGGCAGCCAAGTCAGTTTGAAATGAACAAGTCAGTTTGAAATGAACAAATTCGACTGGCCCTACGGAAAATTAACCCTTGGTGTCTTCCCCAGACCCTGGATTCCCTGGGGAGAGCCGTGGCTGACTCGGACCTGGCGGAGCTGCCGGAGCAGCTCGTGAGCTTCTCGGCGCAGTGCAGGGAGCAGTTGGCCTTCCGCTACCTGGCCGGGCAGAACGGGGCCTACCCCGTGGTGTTCTCTGCCTGCCAGCTGGCCTCAGGAGACAGGGATTTGATGCTCAAAGCCTTCTCCACCCTGTCTGCCCTGCTGGACGGGCAGCCCGACCTGCTGGACGCCGCGGGGCAGGAGCTGCTGCTGCAGAGCCTGCGGGAGCGGCGGGAGGACGCGGAGCTGACGCTGGCGGGGATCCGGTGCGTCAGGAGCGCCTGCCTGAAACACGAGCAGAACAGGCAGGACTTTGTGAAGGGGGGGATCCTGCCCCTGCTCACTGGAGCCATCACCCAGCACGGGGACAGCGCTGATGTTGTCAGGACGGCGGCCTCGGCCCTGCGGATCATGACCTTCGACGACGACATCCGCGTGCCCTTCGGCCACGCCCACGACCACGCCAAGATGATCGTGCTGGAGAACGACGGGCTGAGGGTCCTCATTGAAGCTGCAAAAGGTAAAATTAAACACCACCACCCCCTGCCCTGTGGCTCTTGGTGCTGATTTGGGCGCTGGAACGGGCTCTCCCCGGGGCGGTGTCACAGCACCGAGGCTGGCAGAGCTCAGGGAGCGTTTGGGTGATACCCTTTGGGCACGAGGGGTGGCTCTTGGGGATGGTCCTGTGCAGGTCCAGGTCTTCTTATCCTTGTGGGTCCCTTCCAGCTGCATATTCTGTGATTTCTTCTCCTATAGCCTTCGAGCTTTAAGCCTTTCTTCTCTTAAAACTTCAAATTCTGTCGTGACTTGAAGCTCCTCCCAGGCGATTTCGGAGATTTGCCACTGAACTGGTGTTTAATTCTATTGAGGAAATGGGCCCCAAGGGGAGAAAAATAAGTGCCCCCTCGGTGCTGCTGATAACCTCTGGAGCAGACACATTATCAGGGCTATTTGTCACTGTGTTTAGGGAGTGTTTTACAGCCCAGAGCAGGTTTGCAGGCACATTATCCCTGCTGAGGTGCTTCTTGCCTAGAAAAGATGTTCTACCTCTGTCTAGAAACAGAGTGAGCAGGTGTCATCTCTCCTATTTTAATATATAAAGGGAAATAACACTCTTACACTCTTTTCTGTTGGTTTTTTTTTAATGAAGCAAAGTAAACCATCTTAATTCCCTGCTCGTGGTTACTCCCTCCATCATCTCTCCTCTGCAGCGTTCACAGACAACTCCGGGGTTCTCAGTGAGCTCTGTGCCACCCTCTCTCGCCTCTCGGTCAGGAACGAGTTCTGCCAAGAGATTGTGGACCTTGGGGGCTTAAATTTTATGGTGACTCTGCTGG